GAACATGATTAATCAGTGATACATTGAATTTTTAGATAATGTGTATATGACATTAAACAAATTTTTGTGTTTAGTTAATATCATTCACCATGGAATCCTCTAACTCTGGTGGTGTAAAAGTTATAACCATTGCTGGTCGTATGGCTAGAGAAAGAGAACGTTGTATTGGTATGACAGATGAAGAACGTGCATACAGAGCACGCTATGTAAAAAGTTTAGAGCTTGCACCAGGAGAACCAATAACACCAAAAGGATATTATGAGGCATATTATAATCCAATAAGAAGGTTCTATATGGCACCATTAAATCAAGTTGAAAAATTACTAGCTCCAGCTGTAGTAAGTCTCATTTATCGATATTACACTAAATATTCATTATTCTGTACTCTTACATTTATTACTTATGTACAGGGAGATTTCAGTGCAAGAGTCATACGCTTCACAACAGGAAGAATTTTAATGGGTATTACTGGAATTTATGTTGGATGGTATTATTTTAAATATCACACATACGTGAGTTAAAACAGAACATTTCTCGCTCCAAGTACAGTATACTTGATATTATTAGATATTAATCTTCTTAGACTTGGGAGAGACAATCTGGTTGGAGAATTTGTCCAACGCGTGATGCACGCCTTCCAGGGACTAAAGATTATAAAGGTCTTGAAAAGCGTACAATCTTTGCTACAGATAATTTCGAAAATTCTCCTATATGAGGAGGATATAAACATTACTGTTAAGTAGTCTTTAAATATAATAAAGTCATGAATAAGTTACTATTATGAATATATCTCCTATTTCATAGTTGGTAATTATAAGGTACATAGTAATTTTCATTATAAAATTTAATATATTTATTTACAAAATTTAATTTTATTTAGTCTTATTAAATGTTCATATTGTACGTGTTCATTTGAGGAATCCAAAGATTTGCTTCTTCTGTCCAAGTTTGTTCTCCTTCATCAGTGTTTTCATAAGACTTTCATTCAATCGTATTCCTATATTTTGACCCATCTAAACGATGTAATATTATAAAAATCATATGCAATATCATATAGTTCGTACTTAGGTAATATAAATACCTGCAACATTTTATTAAAAGTAGTAGGTGTAATGCTTCCATGACCTAATTTAATTATTGATGAGATTTTACCACTTGGTAATACAGACATAACTATACTACTTGCACTGCATACTTCTTCTTCAGAGTTTGGATCTGTAATACAATTATCACCAATCTGTAAAGAAAAGATTATTTTAGATAAAACTTACTGAAAGTAGATATTAACACATTAAGTAGTAGTATTTAATGCAAACATACTTTACAGAGAGTTACAATGACTGGGTAATTACTTGTGTCCAGTTGAATACAATCATAAGAATTATCTGATAACTGAATATCTGGTTCTCCACCGTCAAGTGTTGCAGCTGTAATTCTTGGTATTTCTGTACTGTATAATGCAGCCTTAACTGCAGCTCCTACTGCATCAAAAAGATTGCCTCCACATTGAAGAATCTACATTGTGTATCAATACTATATTTCCAAAACTATCCTTTAAGAGAAATTATTAGCTATTAACAAGAGCCATATTAATTACCAATACATCAACAAATATTTTCCAACATTTTTTGTGGGGCAATATACATAATGTTCTCAAATCAATAGCATCGTGTGTTTGATAAGCAACTGTTAGGGTATTGCTTATTTCAGTTGCTAAATCATCGCCACCTTTCCCCTCAAATGCTGGAGTTGCGGTAGCAGAGCTAAAATATGTGTAATATGGAATAATAAAAGATATCTATTTTAATATCATAAATAACATACCAGTCAACAAAAAACTCCAATTTTCCTTCATCTGGGCTATCAGCATGAGGTGCATCAAGTTCTACTTTAACACCAACAAGTATATCTGTGTTGCCTATACGTAATCTGGCTGATCCATGAGTTTGTGGCATCAATTTAGTTTCAATTTCCATTGTTCGATACTCGCACTGTCGTCTACCATCGTTTCTAAAGTCTGCCTTGCAATCATAAAAATAAATGTATTACGAAATAGATCCTACCACCTAAACAATTTGCCGCAACTACAAACTTTTATGTACTTACATCTACTCCATGTAGAATGAAAGTTTTTTCACCAATACTTAAAACAGTTTCTGCCATTGTAAAATGTTTGGTACCGAACTGTTTTAAAAAAACTTTAATAAACTACTTCTATTCTTAAAAAACTTAAACACAGAATATAATACTTAATTATTGCTGGTAAATGCAATTCAGAATTGTGGTTATATCCAATGTGCAGGCAAGGACGTGATTCTATTTTTTTATCGTAATAATAATACGCCGATAAAAGGTATATTATTAAGGTAAATTAATATTAAATGTTTTAAAATGTTTATTTCAATAATTATAACAAAGAAACTTACACCCACGTGAACTTCATACGTTCATACCCATAAACACGAATAAAATACACACATATATGCACGTATAAGTAAATGTAAATACATGGGTAAATATAACTACCACAAAGTTAGGTTAAGGATGTAAGTATGTGTGATAAATATAATATAATTTTTAGATATAAACGTAAGTATTTCACAGCTAATATTACTTAATTTTTGTGCAATATGTTTTGTATTGCGTCCTTCGCTTTTTGAACGCCAAGACGAAATTGTCCGTATTCCGGTCGGATTCTCATGCCACGATAATAATATACAAGGCTCATTTCATAATCCCCAAGGTGATACAAAGCTTCTGCTTTACAATACATTGCGTTTGCTGTATTGGCATTCTTCATTTTATGCTGTAATGCATTTTGAGCATCCTCCAATGCTTTTTGTGGCTGCCCTAATAAAAGGTGACATTTACTTCGTGCTATCAGTGCATTATTATCATTCGGTTCAAGATTCAACGCCTGGCAGAACATGAAAATATATACACTTTATTCCATATTACTTGTTTAAATTTATTATAAGGGATATATTTTCCTTAAAAAAAAATACGCTGCGGGATAAAATTGTGAACTCATTCTTCAAAATCGATTTTTCTTATATTTTTAAAAATCATTTCTCAACTGCATTTTTCTAAGAGGAGTTAGTTCACTAAATAATATATAAAAAAATGTCGATGCAAATACGCTTGGTCGAAAGTAAGCAAAAATAAAAAAAATTACTTTCTTCAATTTTTGTTAGACTAATGTTTATAGACTATAAGATCGTGGACTTAAGTCTGTACTTAAAATTTTGTTCAACACATTTTAAGATCTATTGATTGTCATACGTATGTATGTACGATCTACAGAGGTTTAAAGATCGTACATAGTCGAAAATTATATAAATCGACCAAAATCACCAATTAATCGATTTTAACTCACAATTTTATTCTGCATTGAGTGTATTCTTAAAAAATTAATTTTCAAGAGACGTATCGTGTTATTTTTTAAAGACGAGATACTTTTACATTCAGAGGAATAATGGGGAGTGAAAAATCAAGGTGAACCTTATTAATACAATTCATGGCGACCTTAACGTCGCCGATTTTCATCTCGCGTAATCCTAAAGTCAACATCGCCATTGGTTCAGTATTTTCCGGTAATTGCAAATTCCGATCTTGTTTTTGTTTTATTTTTAGCGACTGTTTAATGTCCTTAGTACCCATATTTACTGCAGCAGCACGATCCTTATCTGTGTACACTTCTTCTTGGCGGCGAACACCATTACTCTGTCGGCGTCATTTCTTTTTCTTTTGTATATTCACTTCCGACTCAACTGACAATTTTTCTGATTTATCCTTCTGTTGCTTTCTATCGTTTCTTCGGTTTTTTTTAACACCGTCAAAGTAATTTCTTTTATCAGCGTCATCGGTAGACTCTGTGTCGATATAAGCTCCTAAGGACGGAGTTTTATCGGCGTTCTCTAATTCTTCGTATTGTTTTGAATTCGATGGACTTTCCATTGGTGCGAGCACGTAACTTTGTAACAGATCATGATGGTGCATTGTTGGATTTAAAATACCCATGATTTTTGAATCAATAGCGTTTTGCGTATCTTTAGATTCTTGCAAAATTGTTTCACTCATTTTTCTCCTGAAGTCAGTTAAATATTTTCTTCAAACAATTTCTTTTTTTTTTAAATATTGTGAATTAGGAAAATATTTTTAAATAACACTGTTACTTTGTTACACATTTGCTTTATAACTCTAAATTGAATGAATGGAAAAACTTGTCGCGTATCAGAGAGACTACTAGACTAGCTTGGAGTGAAAAGGTAGTTTCGTGCTTTGCGTGCGGAATAGATTGGAATAGATGTGTGGCTATCGACACCTTCACCAGACAGCTTGTTTCCTTAGAAACAGTCAAACAATGCGGATAAATTCGGCATACGAAAATCTCGACCGTGTATAAAGGCCACGATCTTATAGATCGTGATAAAGCTTCCTTCAATAGCACTTGCCGAAAAAGTATTCCGGTGGCGGATATCACGTTCTCTTGTTAGAAATCTCATCCCGTAATCTTTTACATAATTCACAGTAAGGTTTTAAACAACCTATTGAAATTGTATTAAAAATGTTTTTCATTCTACATTAGTCGCTAGTTTTTTAATTTTTATTTAAAGTTAGCATGATGGTAATGTCATGAGGACATTTTATCTTTAATATTTATCAGTAAAAAGAGTGAACATATAAGGTCATATAATCAGAAAGGATTGTAAGCTGCTGTGACTCTATATATCATCTTTATAAATTCAACGATATGAGATCACGCTATCTGATATCACGATAATATGTAATATACTATATTATTGCACAAAACACTATAAACATATACAAATTTTTTGCATTGCAACTTGAAAGTATGTAGAATAAATTAAGATATTGTATTAATAAGGTTCAAAGAAGTTAATGATTGTAACGACATTTACTACAAAATTTCAATAACATCGGATACACGTATTTCTTAATAATACGTGAAATTTTAATGAAGCAAGTCGTTAATTTGTAAACGAACTACTTAAAATTGAAATTAATGAATATATTTCGAAGGATTTAGATTACTTACTTTATTGTATAAACACATGGCTTTATAATAGTGTCCATTTTTTACATGGACCATTGCTTCGTTTACTAATAATTTTTTTTCCAACGAAGCAAAACATTTTTGCAGTTTCTGTTTACGGTTATTTATCATACCGATTCAGAACCTACAATTTACATATAAAAATTTGTCAACAGCTGTATATAACATAATATATATTTATATAATTATTAATGATACAAATCTTAGTAATAGAGTTTTTATTACATTTCTTTTAATGCATACATGTACTTCCGTTAAGATAAAAAATGAATGCAGAAATACAATTTAATTGATTGTCATTTTACCGGATTTTGAATGAAATCCAATTTAAATACGGACAATTTTGGGGTGAAAATTCGATGATTTAATTTGATGAGTGAATGTTTTAATGCAGGACGCGCTTAGGAGATCGACGTATGTTTGTGACGAAGAGTATTTGTACGTTTCGTAAAATTGCCTTTTATTGAAGTCTAACGTGTCACTCACCCATATGAATTCCAATCTTCGTTTAAGAAAGCAACTTTCTCTATAGGGGGTATTTCATATTCCTACACAGAACACATTTTCATATTCAATGTTTCGTTCGACGGATTATGGAGTATAAGTTCTCGTTTTCTTTGACGACATAAACTTTTTCGTTCTATCTTTAGTTTGTAACTTACGACGCGAACTTTTCTGCTTGTACTTATTGTAATGTCCCCCTACTCTGTCTCCTCATAATCAGGACTAATCAATATGACAGTAGTAACAGAGGACAAAGATGACTACAAGTCTTCCTTTTCCTTCCGAGAGTTCTGATAGAGATACCGATAAACGAATCGCTAATACACTTGGTACACTTTTAATAGGATTTTCTGTTAAAGCTATTCTAGTATTCAAAATGTTTTCTCAATATTTATAAAAACATCTTATTTACTAAAAATGTTTATTTCGTCTACAATCCTTTTAAAATAAATAAATTGATATAAATATATATACTATATATACTACATATACTACAGTTTATTTTATAATTTAAATTTTAAGAAGAATAAATATCTTTCATTTAAGTATTTTATTTACATTTACATACATCTTTACTCCTATTATATATCCATTCTAAGAAATTCTATGGAAAGAATTACAATCAGTAATATATTACTGTGGTGGTTTCCATGGTTCAATTTTTGGTGGTGTGGTACTATAAGGCATGTAAGCTGCATTAGTGCCACTCATGTTTGGTTTATGCTCTGCCATCCACTTATATTTTGGCCGATTTGGGTCTCTATGAGGAGGCAAATCTGTTTTGTAATGTAACCAGCCAAACCATTCAGCTGGGACTTGGGAACCATCATAATCCATACCATATCTTTCAGAATATATTACCCATCTATTTGAACCTATTAAAAAATGTAATACAAATGATTTATGCTTCACTTTAAATTATTTAACACGTTCTAGACAAGGGCTGTATCACCGTGAGGTGGCTTTGTATTTTTCATAATTTTTTATAATTATGTATGTACCATTAATGGTGCATCCTATTTCTTAGGACAGATATGAATGTACCACTAGTAATTCAGCCCATTGTGAATGTGTTAACCCATTTGTAACATGCAGAAATATTTAATTTTTTGAACTTACTAAAGAAATATGAATTATTTTCATAATATTTATTCCCAAATTTATCTTCACCTACCAGGTCACCATATTTCAACTCATCTACTCTGAAACATTTAATACATATGATACAGTTATTTTAAATACCTTTCAAAACAAATTATTCTTAAGTTTACGAATGTCCATGAAATTGGGTTTGTTAAATTTGTTCGAAGGACATACTTATAGTTAAATATGTTATTAAGAGTTTTGTGTGTATGTGTGTGATATGACTATTACACAGATGGACTTATAATCACCTGTATAAGGTATACAAGGAATTACGAATGCCACCATTCGTTTTAATTGATTTCCACAAATTAGCAACCTTATCTAACCCTAAATACTTCGCCATGTTTGATAAGTATACACGGCATACACTGGTATACAATTCCAATGAATCAATGAATGTACAAGTTTCATAGGCGTCTTACTCTAAGGATAATTAAAATGTAAGGCATTAAATTTTTACATAAATAAAAAGTGATTCCATTTTTTTTAATTGATGTAAGTAAACATACAAACTTATTTAAAATCTTCAAAAATTTTGCGACTTTCGCATAGTCGGAAAGCAGCTGAAATAGTGTCACGGTAGCAACTTCGCGGTGGCGGGAATGTTCAATGTAGCGTTTGTTTTTACGAACTCCATGTTTGGAAAATTTGTAGTATTGACATAATGTAATTAAGGAATAATATTATTAATATTAATATCTTAGCGATTATTATTAACGGCTAAATTAAAAAAACGTAAACACAAACAGATTATTTCGTATCAATATGAAAACATTAACAACGACTATAACGTCAGAGGAGAAACGAAATAAGCATAGGAATAAATCCAACTATGAGAAGAAAACGAAGTATAGAACTGAGGATACCGTTAAAATTGATCAGGAAGTTATAACCGATAGTGTAAAAAACGAAACTCCAAGAAAGATTAAAACGGTATCCGAAGAACAACGAAAAATATTTCTCTCTACTATTGATCCTTTCGATGCTCCTTTGAAATGGTGGGAAAAAGAACACGTAAAATATGCGTAAGTTATGATCGCAATTTATTTTAAATTAACATTTGATTTAAAATCATTTTATTTTTTTTAAACGAAGAAGGAAAGCTTAGTGTCATTGACAAATTACTTTTAAATGTTTGTGTGGAAGTTTTTACCTTTCACGTATATTTTTATCCCACTCGAGATTTCACACACAATATTACATCATATTTTTGTTTTATGTCAACTTTTCATTATTTTAAATGCTTCTATTACTACAATTTTATAGAATAAATTATCCACCGGTGAAATCTCGTTTAGAGAAAGTAATGGGGACTCATATCGTGCGTCTAACCGATCGTAAATACATGTCACTGCTCGCGATTAAGCTCCTCGAAGATCATGTAAAACAACAGAAAACTCGTATCAAAAGGAGAAAGTTATCGCCACCACTGATTATATCCCGATTGTTAGAACTATCTTATAAAACGCTAAAAGAAAAGATGAAGCAACCTAAATTCACTAAATTAAAACTCTATGTGTGATAAAGGATCGTAATTATCATCGCCGTTTATCCAACATGAAATATGTATGTATAACGTATAGATACAGTATATAATAAACAATGTAATGTTAAATATCATAAAAATCAACTGTAAACGTGAAATATTCTTTTCATAACATTCATTTATTTAAAACATTTCTATCACATTTTACACTAATTATATTTATAATACTACGTCGAAATAAACTCACTACAGCATACGTATCAGGCATAAATAAACGGACGAAACAAACATGCAAATACATCAGAAAATTAATATTATCTACAAACAATAGTATAAGGAACATTTATTTCTATACTAAAAACAAGTTTACTGTAAGCTTATAGTTGGCTAAGAACTATCTTAAAATCTTTAAACTATAATGAGAGAAAGAGAGAGTGGCACTTGTTATTCGTAGGGTATTAATCTTAATTAATATGTATATATTATGTACTATTTCTCTCCGTTTTTTCATTAGTGTATATAATTTTTAATGTCTTTAATTTTTTTAATGAAAGTCGATAATAACTCATTTTTTGGTTTTGACTCGACTTGGGGATGTTTAATGATTATATTTTGATTGATCGGAATTTCAACATATATATCTTCATTCGCAACGTGATGCTTGGCATCCATTAAATCTGCTTCTACCAGATTAATTAAAATATTTTTTAATACGACTATAAACGTTTAATAGTTACGTTAAATAAAACAATAAATATTTCTTACCTGTACTTTCGTAGTCCCAAGGCAAAGAATTTTTCCATGTGTCATGTACATTCGAGAAAATCTTAATTTTCGGCTCAGGAACAAATTTATATTCATAATCAGACCATCCAAATGTTGCGAGGTTCTCTCTAAAAAGTATATTATAAGATCTACATTTCTCTACAAAACTGGGAAGTTGGATCTAGTTTTTATGCAGTTTAAGTTTTGTACAATGTGATGTATATATTTTGTAATTTTGAATTTACTAAACAAATTCCAATTTACTTGTGTACTTCGTCCAGTTCCTCTTTTTTGGGTGCTTTCACCGACTGTTCAGATAGTGGGTGTGCCAGTGGATAGTAATGCACGTGATAGTGATGCACAGACGGTACTTTCTTTACCTCTTTCTTATCCTTTACGGCTTCTAAAATATTATTTATCAACTTTTTCGGGCTGCAATGTGAATTGTTCATGTAGATATATTTTTATTTTATTTTATTTTATCGAAATATTACTATTAAAATTACTAATTCTAATCTGGTAATTTTAATTATTGCATTTGTATCATAAAATTTAATATTACTTACTATCCAAAAAATAATCCTTTCGACGTAGTGACCAACAACACTATTAGCAGGATAAACTGAAAATAAAGAAAACTATTTACAATTTTGAAATTTCAAGCTCTGCGTTGAAATTTAAACCAATTATGTTATAATACAATTTATAAATTATACTGCCACTGTAGATACTTTTAAATCTAGACTATTTGAAGTGATTCTTCGTTATTATCGCTCACTCGCAAAACGTGGATATAAATTTTTAAAACGGCATTTGTTTACGATTTACTTGCAAAATTAAGTTCATCTTCATAGTGAAATGTCAGTTCGCAGATTTGGATGGCTGGCTTTACTATGTAGTTCACGTAGTAAACTGAGAATATCTATGAAACAGGGGCTCCTTATATTTATCCGCTTACTCTCTTTTCCTGCGGGTCTCCGAGTATTCTTCGTTTCTTTTCTTTACGCGAGTTCTTGTTAGATCTCTCGATATATTGCTTGACAAAAATCAAATGTGTAAGTAGTATATCGTTGATTTATAATTTGTATCTTCAAAGCGAAATGTGACCCTTTCTTTGAAAAGAGAATGTAACTTTATTTCTAATTTACAATATTATATACATGACCTTGATAATGAGTAGTAATATTATTAACATATGATCCTATTTATTATTAATGTTATTTATTAATGTATATTATTATATTCTTTTACAAGTAAATAGTAAATTTCTTTATAGTTAAATGGAGCGTTTCTGTGAGGATCTGTAACATTAGTTATCGATAGCCAGAAGAAAGTAAATTATCTTAAAGATATGGCTCACGTTCACTCCATTTATTGATTCACAATGGATTACCGATGTACGATTTGTGGATGATTTATCTCGAATCTCGGAAGATTTACATTTCATATTTCCAACTTTTTTCGAAATCCGCTAACTTTCTATTATTGCAGAGAAAGTTTCAGGATATAAAGAGGTCGTACTCGTGATAATTACATTCTTGTCGAACCGGTTCTACCTTTGATTTTTCGTGTAATATGCTTTTCTAATGTGCATCTACAAACACACGTTGTGTGCTAGTTTAATGTGCCATTGACACGTCTACAATAAAGTAGTAATTTACCTACAATTTCACTTTCTGACAGAAATCTACATAGAGATTATTAAATAATTAAAACGCAGAAATCCAAAATCTCTGGCTTGTTTGTCGCTTTTTTTGCTTAAGCTTCTAAGTAATTGTATTTTAATGTTTACGAAATCATCAATGTGTAACATACATTTTTTATTTAATCTTTCAAACTGTCCATCAACTGAAATTAGTTTTTACAGACTACTTTCGATTAAGAGAATTTATTCTTTACAATTTTACATCATTTTCTACAACATATTTTAAAATTACTATTGCAAGAGTAAAGAAATAAAAAAATTCGTACGGAAAAATACAAAGTTCTATGCACTTTTCTTCTAACTCCATTATTTAACGAGTTAAGTGCAGTTAATTGGCATTTTTTGGCATTGGCGAAATCCGACCGTCTCACCGTCGAAAGGGTGGAATTTTGGCAAATATTTCGTTTTTCCTCAATTACTCCTAAACCGTTGGACTTACGGGAAAATAACATACGACCTTTTTTGTAGAGGACGACGAGATCTACAATTTCTACATAAAACAATTCCGCTAGCGTCAATAGTTTACGAATTATTGACGAAAAACGAAAAAACAGTTTTTCGCAAATTACTCGTAAACTATTAACGCTACTGAAAATGTTTTATATAGAAATTGTAGACCTCGTCGTCCTCTATAAGAAAGGTCCTATACAATTTTCCCGTAGGGCCAACGGTTTGAGAGTTATTGGCAAAAAACGAAAATTTCGAAGAAATTGAAGGGGGTAC